AAAAAAAAAAAAAAAAAAAAAAAAAACACCATTTCAAAACAATACGTACAGTATTATTTCATTTTGCTAAATGCAAGTAATACTTATCTCTGGATTGTGATGGCATTTATTTTCTTATTCTGTTATCTACTGTTTCTTTTTTCTACAATGATCACGTTACCACATTACCTGTCATTGTAAAAAATACATGTTGCTTTTTAAAATAAAATTTGATTATGATAAGTTAGGATAAGATAATGAGGAGAGGGCTGGCTCTTGAATGCTTTGGCGTACTATGTCCAAAACAAACTCAAGGTGAGGCTTTGTTATACTCCTGGCTTCTAATGGGTCCCCAGAAGTTAGGGATGAGTGAAGGAACAAAATGCCCTACAAAAGTGGATGGGGCTCAAGGTTACACAGAAGGAAATTGGAAGCTATAGAGAAAGTCAAAACTTTCCTGATCTCAGCTGTGACACTTAGCCTGACCCCCACCCAGGCCCTCTGCTCCACTCCTAATCCCAGTGATGGTCTCCTCCGCCTTGACTTTGTTTCAAGGCTCCCCTTCAACAGAGCTGCCTTTATAGAATGCAGCTTTCTGTGGTACCAGATGCCACATTTCCCCTGCTCTCCGTCTGTGTCGGTGCCTCTCAAACTCCCCATGCACAACTGCTCTGCACCCTCCTGCACATCAGGATGGCATAAGATGACGGGCTGCTGCTCTCCCTTTCATCAGATATGTTGTGCCATTTAATACGCCTGGATTTTCTCATCTATGAATCAGCGTAAGATAACTAGAAAAATTCCCCTTTAGGTTTACTGTGCAGGATGGAAAAATTATCTTACCACCCTGTTAAAGAATTGAGCTGTGAATTCTTCCCCTTTCTTATGTGGCTCTGGAGGAACATACTGTATGTCCTGCAAATCTAAAAAAGGAAAGACTGGGCATTGCATTTTACTTTTGGTATGTCAAACTTGTAAAAAGAGCTATCTCTATAACTGCCCTATTAAGCAGCTTATATTTAATTTAGCATTTGTTTTATCTCATCTAATCTTCACAACCCTATAAAATAGGTTCTATTCATTCCACAAGTATATATTTCACTGTTACTATGTGTCAGGCACTGTGCTAAGTGCTACAGATATGAGAGTCAACATAAAACAATGTTCCTGCCTTGCTGGAGCTTTCCCAGCTGGTAGAAAGATACATATTATACAAAACATGTAAAATTGCAATTGTACCAATACTAAGTTGGAAAGTATCCAGTGCAGAAAAACAGTATCAGAGAGGTCAGGGAAGACTTCACCTTGGAAATGAAGTTTCAAATGAGCTCTAAGGACTAAGTAGGACAGGCATGATGGTGCACAGCTGTAATCCCAGCGTTCTGGGAGGCCGAGGCAGGTAACTTAATGACTTAATGAGGCCGCAAAATAAAAAATTACTTAAAGGAGCTGGGCCTATAGCTTGGTGGTAAGCACTTGTGTAGCTTTCTGGGGATCAGGCGGTGGGGGTGAGGGATCACCTACCAGGTAACTAAAACGGAGGAAGGACACGTTAGTTTTATCCCAGTTGATACCTGTTACTGGAGTTACCTGTTACAGAGTCTCTACTCATTTTCATCCCCTTCTGCACCGTCCTAGCCCCAGCCAACAGAAGCTGAGAATCTACAGCGGATTTGCCCAGAAGAGGAGACCCTAAAAAAAGAAGAGAGATGTGTGTAACTACCAAGGGAGACTTCCAGGAAACCAAAGCAACCTTGGAGACTGGGGAATGGCAGAGAGATGCTAGGAGATAACCCCTGGACCCCCAGAATGGAAAGCCGTCTTGACACATTGCCCTCCTCACTCCTCTTTCGGGAATCACGGAAGGCGCGAGTGACAGAAGCGACTACGGGATCCCAGCTTCCAATCCTGCGCCACCACTGCGGCTGCGTGCCACCGCCCCGGAAGCGGAAGTACAGTCGAGGTTACGCGGGGTTCCAAAATGGCGGCTCTCTCCTCGTTGGTGTCCGGCTGCGGGCATCTGTTCCGAGGGCTCCTGGCGCGCTCAGCCGCAACCAGCTGGACTCAGCTACCGGCTCGCGGGCTCAGGGAAGGTAAGTCCCGGAGCCCAGAGACCTCCCATTTCCAAACGAGAGCTGCAGCGAGTGTTCTCGCCAGCCCCGGTGCTTCCTCCCTTGGTTTTCACCTAGCGATTCGGACACATCGGAAGTTCTGCGCCCCCACCCACTGTCGCCCCGTCCAGATTCTTCTTCTTGTTGCTTGAACTCCTGTCCCTTGGTTGTGTCCTCGGGAGGCAGAGGAGGACGAAAAAAAAAGGGCCTAGTTTATCAGCGGGGATAGAGAAGCCTGTAGCTTCAGGCCTCAAGGGAGTTTTCAGTATAGGGCTGCGTGTTCATTTTTTTTTTCCGTATTCTCCGAATCGCTGTCTGCTTCATTAAAACGTCCGTAGCCCATGAAGGAAGGATTCTGGACTCCGTCCTCAGAGCGTCCCTTTGTAGTTTCTCTTTTGAAAATGATGTGATATGATGGATGGTGGCTTTTTCTGCCCGGACCGCTAGTCTTCCCTAAGAGGTGAAGGCCGAGGTGGAAGGCTATGTTGAACAGCTACAACAGAGGTAAATGCAGGATGGCTCAGCTCTTCCTTAATACAGTCTGGAAGAGTAGCCTGATTCTAGCATCAGCTGAGAGGTTACTGAAGGCCAGGTACTTCAATACGTGGTAGGATTTTGAAGACAGAAAACCCCTTTTCCTAAGAAGCTTGGGTTCTAATGAGAGAATATGTATACGCCCCAGTAAATGAATTATCCATTTACATGACAAAATATAAGGAGTTTCAGTTACGGAAGTAGTTGGAAGTTTTCCTTGAGAGAATGTTTCTTGAACTGGTTTAGAAAAGGATAGATTCGCAGAGTGAAAAGGTCTCATAGGAGCCTTTGTGTACTGTTAAAAGCAAGAAAGATGAGTGATGTGCAAAAGAAATGATGTGGTTTTTAAAAGATTCTGGCATAGTACCGACGAGCCAGTATATCTACTAAAGCTAAGAGTTATCCAGAGGGAAACAAATGATTATTATTGTCATAAGGGGCAGAAAAGTCCAAAAAGAAGACCTTAAGAAGAGGCCATGAGATTTGTCTTAGAAGAGGTCTCTTTTTAGCTTTCAAACAGCAGCTTCAATAGAGTGGCAAACAAGGAAACTAGCATGGAGATATTAAAGAGATAATTGGAGAAACAGTATCCTTGAAGAATTCAGCCATGAAAAGAAGATAGAAAAATTGGTGTATGGGGGTGGAGGGAGTCCAGATACTCTCGACTTAATGTTGGACTAATCCACTAATTTTTAAGAGACAAGATTATGCTCATGACAGAAAGGACTTGGATAAGATATTTCATGTATTCCCATGCTGCAAAATTAGCTGTAGCTCATAACATTTCGGAGGGTATCTACCAAGTATGAAACACTAAGAGCTGTAAGTTACATATGTCTTATATGAAATTCAAATTTGAAACAGTTCTTTGCTATATTCCCAGAAAGTCAAATGAATAGTTTTTTTGGTTGGTTGGGTTTTGTTGGTTTGGTTTTTGTCTGTGTAAGATAGGAATCTGAGGTTAGACAAAAAATATTTCATTGGAGAGTTTGTGAAATGATAGGCTGTATAATCATATGAGGGGTTTGGGGGTTTTTTTGTTCGTTGGGTTTTTTGTTGTTGTTTTTTGTTTTTGTTTGTGTTATTTTGGTTTTTTGAGACAGGGTCTCAACACGTAGTTGAGACTGACCTAGAACTCACTATGTAGCCCAGGCTGGTCTCGAACTCACAGTGATCCTCCTGCCTCAGCCTCCTGAGTGCTGGTATTACAGGCGTGCACCACCATGCCCGGCCTTTCGTTGGGGTTTTTTTGAGACAGGATCTCACTGTGTAGTTCAGGCTGTCCTTGAACTCACTGTGTAACCCAGGCTGGCCTTGAACTTGTGGGAATTCTGCCTCAGCCTCCCAAGTAGCAGGATCACAGGTGTGCGCCTCCATGCCCAGCATCATATGAGTTTTTAAAGTCCATTTTTCCATAAATACTTAGGTTGGTAGCTCTTCTTCTTGTTGGTCCCTGTCACACTTCAATGTCAGATTGAATTGATGTGATCTTACATGAAGACACTGTTATAGTTTGTATTTTTGAGAATCACCTATCTTCAGAGTCCCTAAATAGGGGAAAAAAAGAACTTCCTTTTGATGTTTAATCATTTCTAACACGAAGTATTACACATATAACTAATTTTCATTGGTCCCATCTGGTATATTTAACATGTGAATAATAATATTATACACATAGAATTTAATGTCATGGGGAAGAAACTGGGTCTCTTGCTGAAATATTCAAGCATTGCTTTTCAAAATAAAACTGTAATTTTAGTCAGAGTTCATGAGGACTGAGCACCAGTGTTCCTCTAGTGAAGACTCAGTTTGAAGCAGTGATTCTCAACCTAGGGCAGTTTTGTCCCCTAGGAAACATTTGGCAACGTCTAGACACATTTTTGGTTGTCATAACTGGTATTGCTGGCATCTTTTGGTTTGGGACCAGTGTTGCTACAAAATGTCTTGCAGCACACATTACAGCTGCCCACAGCAAAGAACCATTATGACCCAGAATATCAGTCCTGCTGCTGTTGAAAAAGCCAGGTCTAAGCTGGGGATTTAGCTCAGTGGTTCCGCCACCTGCCTCGCAAGTGTAAGGACCCAAGTTCAATCCCTGGTACCATAAAACAAAACAAAAAAAAAAAAGAAAAGAAAGAAAGAAAGAAAGAAAAGGCCAGGTCTAAAATTGACAAGAGGGACACAAAATCAAAAAAGGCTATTATGGGAGAATCAGGACTGAAGGGGGACAAAAATGCTGCAAGTAGCATGTTAAGTTTCCACGTACATTTGTTCAGTCATCTTATTGTCACAGTTGAGGAATCCGGTTCCAAGGGTTCTTTATGGCTTGCCCAGCGTCGGCTATAAGCAACGTAGTAGGAAACAGAGCCAGCACTCAACACTCTTCACTCTCCCCCAGTAATGTCACCTTGATGCTTCCTGGCAGGGCCTCCCTGTGGCTTCCTCCTTCCTGAAAGCTCTTACCAGTTAACTTGCTGAAGACCATTTGGTGCCTCAGGATTGGCACTGCCAGATTTAGCAAAGATTATGTGTTAGACCTTCTTCCGGTTTAATCACCTAGAACCTCTTTGAAAGAAATGTATCTTACTTAAAAAGAACACATAAATGGAGGATTATATGAATTAACAATCCTGATTGATCAGACACTCTCAGTAGAGTACTGTGAAATGAGAAAAGGCCAAAGGGAATTTGCTGCATTTCCTTCCATTAGCAGAGGGGGCTCTGGACCTGATACATCACACAAGGATATGCCAAACAGGCTAGTCTGCTCTATAGCTAAAAGCTTTGGAAGGGAAATGGGCAAAATGAGGGCTTTAAAGAATTCAGGATGTAAGGCACACACCTGTAATCCCAGCTACTTGGGAACCTGAGGCAAGAGAATCACAAGTTTAAAGCCAGCCTGGGCAACTCAGTGAGACTATGTCTCAAGATAAAATGGGTTGGGGATGTAGCTCAGTGGTGGAGCGCTTGCTTGCTTAGCATGCTGTAGGCCCTGGGTTCAGTTCTTAGTCCTGGGGGGGAGTCGGGTTGAGACTAACCAGAGGAACCTTCTGACAGAGAGATTTTGTGTGTGTGTGCGTGTGTGTTTGTGCACACACGTGCACATAGCAATAATAATACTCCTTGCTCTGAAGCCTAGGGCAGAGGGCTAGTTCCTCTGGGGTCCAAGGGAAAAGAAAGGGAAGTGATAAGAGAACTGGAAAACTTGAATAATATAATTAAAAATGGGGGAAAGTATGCTTGAGGCTGGAAGTTGTTTGAAAAAAGCAGCCACTGGCCAGAGGTGCTGGCCTACATCCTAAGCATGGCACTCTGCTCCTCCTGGCATAAGACTGCCAGGGCTCCTTCCAGCTTTCAGTTCATCTGTTCCTTCATCCACTGCTTAGGACTTGTTTTCCACAGATCTAACAAGGACCTCGGTTTCTTTGGCAGCCATGTGTAGCAGTGGCCCACCCTCCTCATCGTTGGTCTTTTCTCCCTCTCTTACTAAGCAGTTGGGCTTTATGCAGATGTAGCCCACTGCATTTGTGTTTATGTAGTTGTCAAGGTCTTTTTTGTTCATCGCAACCTTACCACAATGCTGTTTGCTTCAGACTCCCACAATCCAGTTATCTTGGACTCCATCCTAGGCGAGTATTTACTAAAGTACTCAGAGGACCTCTTTACAAGGCATGGACTTTATCATGAAGTTCCCATGCTTGGTTTAGCTCCCTCTCCTCCTCTTGGACAAAGACTGTGCCTTCCTGTTCTATTGTAACTCCCCATAGTGGGGAGGGCCAAGTTGTGTACCCCAGAGGCACTCAGCAAATGTATTGCCTCATTTGGGACAGATTATTTTATGTGTATGAGAAGTGCCTCTCTTGAAAGATTTTGGCACTTAGCTCGAGTTTAGAAAACTGCTTCATCTCTTTCCTTAGTTTACTTGATACCCCATATCTCAGAACACAGGGTGATTTCATCTTTTCCTAAACAAGTTTTTTGTTAGTGCGTAAATCTCTTGGTCCAGCTTTTCTTAGCAACCCCCACTTCTCAATAGAGAGGAGGCCAGGGACAAAATGGATCTCAGGTTTTGTTTGGTTTTGACATGTTTTTCTATGCACACTGAAAAGCAATACAATTTTGATTTCTATCTCCTCTTTCCAGAAGCTTAAAATCTACTGAGGGCCTCTCTGGTCTCCAGCTGCGCCTTCTCCCCCTGCACCAAGACACCACCCAGATCAGCAGTCAGCGAGCAATCAGTCTTGAGATGAGTCTGTGTCTCGTGTGAGTTCTCAGGTCATTTCCTCGGTTTGACAAATTGTCTCAGATAAGCATCTGCCTATTGTTTTACCCACTGGCTCCTAGCAAGTCCTGGCTCCCAGTTGTGCATGGAGAGCTGTGAACAGTGGAGCTTGCCATGGGCTTTGATCTCTGCTCCAGGGGCCAGTGGGATGAGTTCAGGGCTTGGGTCCTTGCCGAGAGTGATGTATGTTTTGTTAGACTTGTTTACCTCATGGTTAGGGCCCAAGTGCCTGCCCAGAGAAGGGAACCACATGTTTATCCTCTGTTTTGGGGCATTGTTCTTCACTGACTCCACCAGTCTCAGAATGTGTCTCTGCTTTTGTTTCCTTGGGGCTTCTCAGCAACTTTCCCCCTACCTTGCACTGCTCAGACTTGCTCACCCTCGGGCCCTTTCCCAACTTGGATTTTGCAGATTTGCAGTTTCTGGGGTGCCTGGAGCCTGGCTGGGCTGGGGATGTGCCCACCTTCTACCCCCACCCCACCCCAGGCTGCATCTGCAGACTGGCACACAGCAGTAACCTTCCCTCCCCTCTGCAGCTGTGCTGGCTTCAGACTGCCGACCAGGTTGTCTCACCCACATCCCTTTGTCGTGTTGGTCTCTGTTCTGTACAAGTGAATCCGTGTGTGGGGTGACGCAGTTTCTTTCACTCGGAGGAACCTAGCTGGTCTTTGAATTGATTAGTGGCCACAGTGTTCTCTGGAGAAAGCCTCAGGGCCTTGCTGGCCCTCCTTTCTCCTTTGTTTTTCTGGAGTTGGACACTGAGGGCCTCTCAGGTTGGTTGTTTTAGAGTAATGAGTCTTGGTGAATGGATTGCCCAGAAAACAAATGGGGACCAATTCCAGGCAGTCTGGGTCCAATTAGGTGTTGGTCACAGAGCTCATTGATCACAGATGCTGCCGTGGGCCCCTAGCTGGTTAGAGTTGCCTTTTCTCCTTAGACAAACCCTTCTCTTTTTATTGTTTTTTTTTTAATTGCAAAAGCAATATATGTTTGTTTTAAAAACTGGAGAAATGCACATAGACAAAAAGAAGAAATCAGAAGCACTCACTCCTTGAGGGGTAAGCAACGCGTCTCTCTTTCGATCCCTGGCCACTGTGTGCACGTGACAGACATTGCCTGGGGGCTGCCTACCATGTTCACTGATTCTAAAAGTGATGGACCTTGCGCTTTCTCTGGTCTGTCTCTTGCCTTGGCCAATGCTGAGTATAAAACTATGGTAACCAAGCTGCTGTTTAAATAGGGTTTTCCTATTGTGAGTGACAGTTTGCAGCCTCACTGTGAGGGCCAAGTTTTCTTGTGCAGTATTTAGCAGTTAGAAAGGGACTGTGAGAGTATTTGGCACCCTAAAAATAGCTAGCGTTTATTGAGCAGTCGCTGCATACCAGTTCCTTCGCTAACGGCTGTGGCTTCTCTCTAAGGAAACTGGGAGAACAGGGAAGAGCCCCAAAGACATTTGCTGGATGTGGCTATTAGCTTGTTCTTCCTTTGCTCTTGGCATTGTAGTTGTTCATCCTCTCCAGGTGTAGGAAGTGCCCACAGCCTGATGGGTGTGTTTAGCTATCTTGCGTCGGGTTCTCTACCACTCCACAGACCTCAGCAGGCCCAGGCTGAGAGGGTCACTCCCAGCTTCGAATGGCATTGCTGCCCTTCCGGTGCCTGCCTCTTCCATCACCCTCTGCAACATGCACAGCAGCGGTACCCTGAAGGAGAGGGTAGAGAACGGAACAGAGCAGAGGGGTCGACTCACACAGCTGTCTTCATGCAGATGTGTCTGCAGATGCACGTGTGTGGTGCTGAGGATGGAAGCAGGGCCTGAGGTGTGCTAGGCTGGCACTGCACCCCTGAGCCATAACCCCAGCTCTACATGCAGAATGAGCATAGGCCCCATTTTAGCAGTGAATTCATCTCATGGATTAGCTGCTGTGGGGCCACTGTTAGCTTGATGATGTATTTTTGTTTTTGAGAGAGGGTCTTGCTCAGTATTGTAGGCTGGTTTTGAACTCACTGTATAGCCAAGGCTGGCCTTGAACTCACAGTGATCCTCCTGCCTCAGCCTCCCAGGTGCTGGAATTACAGGCATGTGTCACTGCACCTGGTTTTCAGTGCTATGTTTTAGACTGAAGCCTTTCACAGTCAGAGCTACCTGTAGTTCTCTCCATGAAGGGACTTTGCAAGGGGTACTTCTGAAAAAAAGTCTTTTCACTGCCACACATGCGCCAACTATCTGGTCATTCTTGCTATCCCTGGTAGGGCAGGATCGTACCAGTTCTCTCAGGAAGGCAAAAGCATGTAGAGACCCCTAATCCCAGAGAGGATGCTGCTGAGCACCCAGGGTCACCCCAACAGCCTCCAGGTTGCAGAGTGTTGGCATGAGGGGTTGGGAGGACCCCTGCACCCTCCGTCCCAGGTAGGGGTCATGGGAGAGTGCAGCCCAAAGACTCCTCTTTTCTGCCTGTGTAGAGTTGGGACTGTTATCTGAGTCTCTCTGTCCCTTATTAAATGGCTGGCCTAATTTTTACCCTTTATCTCTGCAGTGGTGGAGACCCAGGAAGGGAAGACAACTATAGTAAGTATCATCAAGTTGGCCACTGAGAGCTTCTCAGTGCTTGGAGCTGCCTGACTGCTCCTTGTGGGAGGCAGAGGCCCACACCAGGCTCCGGGCTCCAGGCTCCAGGCTCCAGGCTCCTGGCTGTGCTCCCGCGGTGACCATAAATCCCACAGTCTACTATTTTTCAAGCTGTGTGCTATAGTGTGGTTAATCAGGAACACTTGCTGTGCCTGGGCCAAAGAATCTGTTATGATTAAAGTGACCTTTTGCATGACAAGGTCTCAGAGGCCTTTGCTAATATATTCTCTGGCAAGTGATAAATCCATCTCCCAGAGGGGAAACCAAGGCAGTGAAATAGACCTAGGGAGCCAGAGTTAAGTTGACTCAGAGCCAGGGTTCCTTCTTTCTGCTCAGAGTGACTAAGCTACTCCTTAAGTGACACCTTGAAGAGGTAACCTTCTCTGGCCCTAGCCGCATAGCCGGCACCCTGGCATATCTGCTCTCCCTCTCCTGGCCCCCTTACCTCCTTTCCTCCCGGCGTCATGAGGCCTAGATTATCCTATAATCCTTACGAGACAGCATTGTTTTCACATGGCCTTCTGTGCTGCTGAGTAATCCTAGCCACTCCAGAGCCCTCCGTAACTTCTGTATGGGTCAGGGATTTAACCCTCCTGTCAGGCAGCAAGTCCAGCGCTCCCTGACGACTCCCATCCCCCAGGTGAGCCTTTTGGGTCAGGTGCTCCCTCACCCTTCTAACTAACCAGCCTCATGCCATTCTGACTTCTAGGGGCCCCAGTCCCTTAGGGCATCACTTCTGGTTCCCTCATTAAAAGCCAGAATACACATTCCCCCTGTAAAGTCCATGCTGAAGGGGAAGGCCTCTGACTTGAGTGTAGAGTGCTTTTACTGCTGGGCATGAATCTGCTCCTTGGGGAGAGACGTGGAGGCACTGCAGCTCTGGAGAGCCATCCCTGTCTGGAGAGACCTGCACGGCTTGCTTTGGGTATCATTGTCCTCTGTGAAGATCGGGCACCTGTGCAAAGGTCGAGGGAGCAAAAGGAAATGTCTGTGACCCGTTCTTAGAACAGAGCTAGGTCTGTGGCAGGGAATTGGGAGGTATTAGTGCCCCCTCCCCTGGGCCTCACCATGCCCACAGTGCTGTTTCCAGCAGCTGTGGATGCCACAGCAGGAAGGTGGCCTGCCTCTGACCTTCGGGACATTGCTCCTTTCCTCCAAAGCTCAGACCTAACCCAGCCCCTGGAACCAACCTCCGGATCCTTGATTTATAGCACAGAATTGTGCTGAGGCTGTTACGGGCCACAGCACTTTGCGGAGGTCATTTCCTATGTGACCTCAGTGGGTTGCAAAGGTGGCATCCAGAATGGTAAAAGAACAAGGCAGACCAAGAAATATATCTGACATCCATGTGTTTGTTCTCAGAACAGTGTGCACAGGTGCTGACCCACGTGGCCTTCTCCCCTCAGCGCCATCCGGGGCTAGAGAATTCCTTGTGGGGCTGCCCTGTGCAAATGCAGTATAGGTAGCAGTGTCCTGCTAGATGTCAGTAGCACTGTGACAATCAGGAGTCCCCAAATGTCCCCTGGATAGCAGAATCACCTCTGGTTGAGACCCACTGGCTTTGTAAAGCCGGAAACTGCATATCCTCTGGAGAGGATGCTGGGACAGGAGAGTGACTTTCTTGGGACTCTGGTTCCTACGCCATCTGAAACCGAGTGTGTTAGTTCCTGTCTCCAGAGGCAGGGAGGAAGCACGAGGTCCTGCTGGGCTTGCTTTGTTGAGGAAAGGAAGGCAGTGGTCAGCAGTTGATACAGCAAGCCCCTCTCTCCCCACCCTTTAAGCCTTCTGTCAAGCTGTGTATTCAGTTCAGATCTTTTCCACTGGCCCTGAAGGCTGCAAGGCCACATCCCTATGGCCACTGCAAGTGGTTGCACTGGCCTTGTCCCTCACACCAGCTCCTTCTCTGCCTCCCAGATTGAAGGCCGTATCGTAGCAACACCCAAGGAGAGTCCAAACCCTCCTAACCCTGAAGGCCAGTGCCCCATCTGCCGCTGGAACCTGAAGCACAAGTACAGCTACGAGGTGAGTCTGTACAGAGACGTGTGGCCCATGTTGCTGAGGTCGGAGTCCTCCCCCTTAGTCACCACTGCCTCTTACAGAGCCACCAAAGACCAGCATTTGTCCAGGGACTGTCAACCTTGGCAGCACATTAAAATCACCCGAGGAGCTTTCAGAAATGGTGCTCCCAAGCCTGTAAGTCCAGTACTTGGAGGCTGAGGCAGGAGGATCATAAATTTAAGCCAAGCCTGGGAAATTTAGCAAGACCCTGTATCGAAAAGGGCTAAAGAAAAGCAAGGATGTCCCAGCTCCACTTTAGACAACTGCAACAGCCTGGGAGTGGGCCTGGGCAGATCCCGTGACTGCAGCCAGGGCTGGGAGCCACCGGCTGGGTTCACGGGCCGGTTTTGCCTCAGAGCACTGGGGTTGGGTTCTCCAGGGATGCAATCAGGCCTGGGCTTGGCTCCCACTTCTCCTGATGGGGCGGCTCTCATTCCCATTCTGTGCTCTGGGAATGCATTACCCTCTCTCCATACCAGACAGAGCCTCAGCCCTTGATTGCTCTGGAGCTGGAACAGCCACTTCCAGGAGGGAGAGGATGGGGAGCGGTGGCCATGGTTGGCGAGTATATGCCCCGTGCCAGGCCCTGTGTGGGCACCTGCCCCTCATCATTGATGTAGTGTCCGTGTCATCCCCACAAAGGAGGGACTTTTCCATCCTTTTTCACAGATGACAATCCTGAAGGCCCAGAGGAGAAATGAACCCATCAGGCCACCCCGCTAGGGTATAAGCTGCCTGGTAGAAGCTAGGTAGAGTCCAGGTTGCTGTACCCCACAGAGATGCAGAGGGCTGGAGCCACAGGTGACTCTGTTATCCCTGTGCCCCTCTGCAGGGTAGGATGACCACAGGCAGACAGCCCGGCCCAGCTAATCTCTTGGGCTGTCTTTCAGCCACACAGGGCCAAGAAAGGGGCAATCACCCTCCCAAGTCCTTTAATACCAGTGGGTGTGCCAGGCTGGTGACATGGCAGCAGGATGTGGGCCTGCTTGGAACCCCGCTGATGACAGGGAGGCAAACCCACACCTGCCCAGAAACAGGGGTGCTCCTGCCAGCACCCCAGAAAATGCTGGGGCTCTATGTGCAGTGGTAGTCTCATCCTCTCCCAGGTAAAATCTGAAGTCAGTCTCCCTTTTCCCTCTTTACACTGGCAGCACCATTGCCTGGCAGCCCACACACTGTTTATGAGCCCCAGTTAGACCAATCCTGGTTCGGGTGGGAATGGGGACCCTGGTCTCCCAGGGATGGCTGTTCTGTAAGGCCGGTCTGGAAGAGGTAAGGCAAGGGTGGCCTCCCTCTCCCCTTGGTTCTGTTGTGCTCTCCTTTGCCTGTCGCAAGCAGCCTGTGGGCCTGCGATGGCCTAAGGGAAGCCCAGAAACGCATTCCCATTTGGCCATGGGAAGTTTAGAGAACAGGGTTAACCTCCCATGGGGCCCCTACTTGGCACTGGGCCTCCACTCACTTTGGGGGTACGTGGGAGAGGCATCTGCGTGTGCTGGTCCTCGGCCAGAGGCTCTGACACAGCCTCCCCTCCAAGAACCCCCGCCAGATGTTCTGCCTCCGGAGGTGCCAGTGCAGGGAAGACTGGCACTTCATCAGCATCTCGGATCCAAGTCTGGTCCAAGTCCCGCCAAGTGGGGCTAACTGTTGGAGTGGAAGGGGCAGAGTGCACAGCTCCACGGGGTGCTGGTTGCCAGACTCACGGCCGCTGCCTGTGGTCCCCCCAGGATGTGCTGCTGCTCAGCCAGTTCCTGCGGCCCCACGGCGGCATGCTGCCCCGGAGCGTGACGGGCCTGTGCATGGAGGAGCACCGCAAAGTGGAGGAGTGTGTAAAGATGGCCCACCGAGCAGGTAGGGCAGGCACGGCCCCCAGCACCCTGGGCTCCCCAGCCTCAGCGCTATGGCAACCGCTGTGTGCTCTTCTCCCCAGGTCTGCTCCCGAATCATAGGCCTCCACTCCCCAGTGGATTCGTCCCGAAGAGCAAGCCCAAGCTGAACCGGTGAGCAGCGCCACCAGCCATACTGTACAGGAGCTATAGCTGCAGCGCAGAGCGAGTGCGCCCTGCCAGTTCAATCCCCTGCCCCCATCACACGCATCACGGCACAGCTGCGGTATAGACAGCTTCTGCCCCCCACCCCGTGCTGGCCCCAGCCTCCTGTTCTGCCCCACTGGCCTCTACACTGTTGAGGAGCACAGGGAGGCCTGCTCATTGGGCACGAGAACATGCTGATCCTCTGCGCATGACCTCACATGAGGTTGCTATGGGGATGTCAGAAACACTCCTGCAAACTCAGTCCCCCAGCTCTCTCCAGCCCTGGAATTACTACAGGACAGAGTGAGGCCTCAGAGACAGGCGGGCTTTCTGGGGTAGGACCACTGCGTACAGCTGTGTAAGTCGTGCACTGCACGGGGCAGCATCCCAACCACTCCCAAGAGTATTCAGGAACTCTCCCAGCATGATGCTGTTGATAGTCTACACCACTTCCTGTGGCAGTCTGAGCAGTCCTGTGCCCCTTCCTCTTCTCCTGTCTGACTTCGCCACACTCAGACCCTTAGGTCTCTGGTGTCCTCCGTGTGGCGTACAGCTGCATCTGGAATACTGATTTGGGGGGTCCTGTGATTCTTCCCAAGGGGTCTCCCTCCTTGTGTCCCACTGGCCCTGGAGTGAGAAGGAGCTGGAGGCGACTGAGGCAAAGCTCCCAAGCCACTGCCTGGTCCCTGCCTCCTATGCCAGCTCCACCTGTGCGCCCATGTCATGAGTGGGACCAGCTGCTAGCCTGGGGGGTAGGTAACCTCCCTGGGTCTCCCCGCTGTGCTGCGGCCATGTAGGGGCCAGTCCCCTCTCACCCTTTCAGGGCACTTAGCAGGTCGAGGACACAGTCCACCCTGCCCTCTGGCTTTGAAGCCAGTCAGCTCCCTGCCGTGTACCCGGTGCCCTTTAATGTGACAGAGGACTGATGATGTGTGAGGCTCGTGGGTTGCAAAAGGCTGCCCTGGAGGAAGGGTTCTGGCTGCAAAGGGAGATGATTCCCTCTTGGGGAACTCTGCTTCCCGAGGTCCTTTAGTGCCATCCAGGCCCTGCTTTGTCCCCCCAGGTGGGAGGAGCTTCTCAGGAAAGAGCTCTGCCCCAGGAGCCCTGCCAGCAGCCGCTCAGACCCAGGCACCTGGCCTGGGGTACCTGAAGCCTCACTTCCCCTTGTGGCTCCAGGCTGAGAGAGGACAGCTAAAGGCAGGAGAGCTGGGTCACCTTGGGGTCCTCTTAGAATCCCAACAAACACCCTGTGCATGGCCTGCTCCCCAGTCCCACATCCTTACAGTCCATAGGCGGGTGGCCACTAGTGGCCAGTGGGTGGTCCTCTTCCTTTGCCCCAGAATGACGACTGTGGAACACGCAGTCCCAGGCCCCGCGCCTGTGCCTGTGCAGTCAGCACACTGGCAGGACACCACCCGCCCAGCAAACACGTGGCCTTTCCCTCCCTACTGGCACGCAGGGTGCAGGCCTAGAGCAGAGGACTGAGGTCTGGGCAGCTCTGCTGAAATGCATAAATCAGCAGCCATTTTTCAGTTTTCATCTAAAATTGTTCAGCCAAAGTTATTTGTTTCTTAAAAAGCTTTCCATCTGAGGGTCTCCAGAGGCTGGGACAAGCCTGACCTGGAGTGGGCCGTAGGCTTCCTGGCCCTGTCAGAACTGCACTCAGAGAACGAGGGTGGACCTTTCTGGACAGAACCCAGATTTCGTTCTAAAAAGAGGAAACCCCACATTTCCAGTAACTGCCAGGGCCCTGGCTGTCCCTAAAGGAGGCCAGAGGGCCATTGATGACCATCACCTTTCCCACCCCTCCTATTCCCGGAACATCCCTGGGCTGAGGCCGAACTGCAGTTCCTCATCCCTGATCGGCAGCTTTGTGCCCTGGAAGGGTCCTGAAGGCTGTGGTGGCAGAGAAGGCCAGGTGTGGGAATTGCCCTGGAAGGGTCCTGAAGGCTGGGGTGGCAGAGAAGGCCAGGTGTGGGAAGGTGCAGGCCGTGTGGGAAGGTGCAGGCCGCTGGGCCATTGTTACTCTTGTCCTCGCCTTGGCCAAGGCCACTCACACAGAAGCCCTGGCAAAGAAAAGATCAAAGGACCCAGTCTGTCACAGGATACTTGTGGCTCCCAGGAGGATCCTCGCTCTTTGAGAAAGGAAAGCTGAGGAGAGGCTGGCAGGGCCTCAGGGACAGTGCTCAGTGCTCACCACTACTTTGTGTGCTTTCTCCACAGCTACCTCACCCGCTGGTCTCCGCGTTCTGTCAAGCCCATCTATAAGAAGGGCCCCCACTGGAACAAGGTGCGCATGGCTGTGGGGTCACCCCTCCTGAAGGACAACATTTGCTACTCGGGCCGGCCTTTGAAGCTATACCACTGACTTGTGCCACCCAGGAGGCCTGGCTCCTCCAGCATCAGGGGCACTGGGGACAATGGGACCACTTCAGTGCCTGGGCCCTGGGCATTTGCATTGGCCTCCTGACTGGCATGGGCTATGCCCAGGGCTGGAGACAGTTTTACCCCAAGGTGTGTCATTCATAAACCAGGCTCCTGGCCTTCCCGCTGGGTGTGTGCTCTCTGCTTAGGAAGTGGGGGCTGGGCTGGTGGGGGGTCTGTGCCGCAGGGTACTGGCCACCAAGGACAGCACAGAGGGGATCTAGTCCCCAAGCTGCAGGAAGGAGCAGGGGCTGCCTGGCCCACATGTCCCTCTCATCTGAGCCCAAGGAGCAGCCATCTTCGCAAGTCCCCTGGCTGTTATCTCCCAGCATTATCTACTGTAGCAGCGTCTCCATTGGTGTGTTGCATTTCTTGGCCACTGCTTTGGAAATAAGATTTCCTGACCCAGGGGCCCTCTCTTCGCACCCTGGACACCAGAGGGAGGTGGAATGAGGTAAGGCAGGACAGAATATGGCCAAGTTCACGGAAGCTTAGGAAAACACTGTTTAGGAACACCCTGGTGGCCCATCCGTCCTACAGCATGAAGGGCAAGTCCATGTTCTTCTCGCCAGTGCCCACGTAGATATAGCCGTGGTTCCTGGTGCGCGGGGTATGGAAGAAGGTGAGGCCCGGCCACAGCAGGCTTCGCAGCACCACCAGCGAGTTGCCCCGCTCCATCTGGACGCTCCAGGACCCTGGGGAGGCAGATGAGGAAGGGACCAGGCGTCAGCCTCTGGGTGGCCTTCAGCTGTTGCATTGCCCATCACCACCACTCCTGGGGGAGGGCGGAGGAAGTGAAACAGGTGAAATTCACACCAGTGGGCACTTCTGTCAGCAAGCCTGGGGGCCAGTGCCAGGGCACACCCCACACGGGCCACACTCTCCTGCTCAGGTGACTTCCCATGGTCCCACAGCTCAGCCAGGTTCGGCCACCTCAAGCCTTCCTGCTCACTGGCAGCTGCAGGCCCAGCTGCCTCTGCCAAGAGGGGCCTGGGTTCCTGCTCCTGCAGAGGAGCAGCCCAGCCACCACAGGGACTTGGCTGGAAGGCCCAGACCCAGCTCCAGGTCTGAGGGAGGGAGCTGCTGTGTGGGAGGAAGGAGCCTGGGAAAATCGCCTCTGGATGCAGATCTGGGGCTTCTATTCCCCTGCGCATGAGGCCTCTCCCGGAGCAGCCACGGCCCTGCTCCCACCCTGCCAGGAAGGCAGAGGCTTTGAAGGTTCTGGTGCTGGACCAGGCAGTGCACTGAGCTCCATGGCCTTCATCAGCTGCCAGCTCAGCCCGGCCACTTGGCTCCTGCACCCAGTTTCCCACGGTGTGGCTCACCCCAGTCACGCCGCACCCAGCAGCCTCGGACTCCATCCCCACCCACTGGGGCCACCCTGCATCCGAGCGAGAGACCTGCTTCACAGGAAACTGTGACCCTCATGGCAGCTCAGCCCTGCTTCAGGCAGATGCCGGCCCAGGCCCAAACCCAGCTTTCTGCAGCCTGGAAGTCGGCCACTGGGCTCTCCTGGCCCCCACCACACAGGGCAGTGAACCATGCATGGTGCAGTGAATGGAAGCCATACACCAGCCTGTCAGCTCCTGCGTGCCTGCCGGACCCCTTGAAGAAGGCAGCAAAGCATCCCCATGTGGCCAGGCCCTGGCTGAAGCACTGCCCTGGACCAGCCGCTCAGTCCCCCTAGCCTGCTGTTCTCCTAGCCCAAAGCTCCAGCAAACGCTCCCTGGTGAGCCAAGGGTGGGGATGCAGAATGGCAAGTTCCCAGGCCACTGTGCTCCGCCTCTGGGGAGAAGCACAGGCCCAGGAGGGTCCCATCTGCTAGGCTTCAGCACCCACCAGTACCCAGAGCATAATCAGGCCAGCTTCCTAGAGACTCAGTCCTTCCTAGTCCTTGGCCTGCAGCCACACAGCCCCCTGAACCAGGGACAGCCAGGCCTGCTCTTACTCATCCCTCACACAGGCCGGCTTGCAGCTCCCTGGGCCACATGGTACCTGGAGTCCCCCAGTCCGAAGCACGTGGGTACACACTGTCACCAGTCTGCCCAACAAGACCACTGCCACCTCTGGCCTGCAGGTCGGGGCCATTGCATCTGGTACAGCAACCCAGAAGCCTAGCAGAGAAGGTGGGAAGAGCAGGCACTCAGGTGAGCAGGAGGTGAGTGCCAAGCTGGAGGAGGGTGCGAGTGTGGCTGAGATGCCAGCCCAGTACAGTGCTGCCCCTCCTCCCTTGCATTCTTGTCACACTCCTGCTCTCTGCCATCGTTCCAGATCAGCTGGTCGCCCAGGAAACACAAGACTGTCAACGTGCCATTAGTCACGTATCTGCCTGAGGGGCCAGCCCCTCACTGTCACCTTGTTCCACTTTCTTACTTAAGATGCTAGCGGGGCTGGGCCCAGCCTCCAGCTATGGGCCCCTTAGGACTCTAGGGTACAGTCGTGACCTCAGAGCTCCCCCCATGTGGTGGCCACTGCTCCTAGAGGGCTATATTGTGGGGCGCAAGCCTGGGAGTTGAAGGAGCCTGAGCTGCTGGCAGGAAGCCCTAGGTTTCCCAGGCAAGTGTCTCCACCTGCTGCTGTGGCATGCAGACCTCAGGCCCAGGTGTGCTGCTGCGACCAAGCCTGCTGGAGTGGGTCGGAGGGAGTCCCAGGCAGTGGGCACTTAACCCTCTCAGACCAGTACCCCAACTTGGTCATAACTGAAATATGGCCATGTGTTCGCAGTGGGGGCCACCCCTGTCCAGTGAGGCCATGTGGTAGAACTGTCTGCAGGCCTGAGCACAGGGAAGACAGTGGCACCATGGTCCCAGCCTTTAACTGAAGGGCAGCAGGGCCCAGCCATGGACCAGGAGGCCCAAGGCCTTGAGCTGGAAGCACACTGCACATAAACTCCCAAAAGGTTGATCCTGCCACACCTGCAACCCCACACTCCTGTGTCCCCTGCCCCAACTACCTGGTCTACCTCAGCCATTTCCAGGCAGCCGGCCCTTTGCTGCCCTCTGCTGCCTAAACTGTGCACTGCATTTGAGCTTGACCGCCTCATTTCCTCCCTAAATTCCTGGGAGGCAAAGGCAACTCTTGGGGGGCTGGCACGTGGCAGCTGCCCAGTGGCCATTCTGACAGATGGCACCCATGCCAGATGCCACCTAGAAGTCTGCCCTCCTGACCACTGCTTGAGCTGCAGCCCAAGGTGAGAGAACCATTGCCTGTGTCTTCCAGGAAGGGGATCCCCCTGACCCCAGAACTAGGGGTGACCTCAAAGCCACCCAGGCTCCTACAGAAATGCAGACCCAGGACCCAGTGTGACAGCCAAGAGGACACAGTGGTCTCAGCCAACACCCTCCACCACCTCTAACCAAGGCTGCCCCAACTGCTGAGCTCCCACCCATCTCCATGGATGCAGAGAGGCACCTCCAGGACAGGGCCACCTGAACCGCACTCACAGAGCACAGCTGTGTGCTGAGCACTGGACCGAACTCCCAAACTAAAGACTGCCATGGATGTGTGCAGGGCTCTTAGGGATGTCTGGGAGAAGATTCCAAACTGCCTCCCACCAAGGTTGCTCCGGGTCCAGCAAGCCCCCTCCTGGATGTGTTTCCGAAGACAGTGAAACCAGATTGTCAGAGAGACACCTGCACTCAGGCTTACACCACACTATCATGATGACCAAGAAATGCAGACCACCATGCAACTGATGAGTAGCCAGGAAAGACATGGTATGGAATATATGGGGGGTGGCCCTAAAAAGGGGTGAGATCTTATCATTTGTGGGATTATTGGGAGTAGAATTACTATTAGGTGAAAATCCAGGCACAGAGAGTATGAACTCTCTCATGTGGAATCTAAAAAATTCTGAGGCCCATTCATTAAGGGGCTGCCGTGATGGGGCCTCATCCCCAAGGGCCCCCGTGAGCCACTCATTCACACCCAGGTTTCTGACTCTGGTCCCCGAGAATGGCAGCTGCGATGTTACCTTTGGGGATGTCATGCTCCAAGGAGTCCAAGAAATCCAGGGAGGGGTCCAAGTCTGCCTTCTCCAGCAGGGTCTTGTTCTTCAGGCCCACGGGATCCCGGAAATGGAAGTAGGAACTGAGCTTCCTGGCCTCAGACAAGGACAGTCCTAGAGAGGAGGACGTTCAGCCCAGGCCCCACAGGCCCTCCCCCATGAGGAGCCCACGAAGAGGCACCGAAAGGAGACAGGGACAGGTGCACTTGCAAACAGGACAAAAGCAGGGAGCCCAGGCCCTCACCAGGACTGGGGGCCAGGTGGCCACAGGTAGATGGGGACCAGCGAGCGAGGACCCAGCCAGCAGCATAGAATACAGGGCACATCCTCCTCGGGGACATGGCCTCCTCTTGCCTCCCATGTGCCAAAGGGAGCTGGGGAAGGGAGAGCTGGAAGAACCCACCCTCAAATGTCCGGTTGACATGGACAGGTCCAAAGGGGGTCTTGAAGAGGGCGCCTCGGGGGATGACGGCCACAGCCTTGTCAATCTGGTCAATGACAGACACCAAGCGGGTCTCTTCCTTGACCTGGACCTGGGAAGGCAGGAGAGGGCCGGCTGCTGTGCCCACTCTGCCCTGGTGTAAGGGCCCCTGCATGGCCTCCTCACTTGAGCCGCCCGTGTCCCTGCCAGCACCCTGAGGTCATGCTGGGCAGACCCTTGCCCTCCCACCTAGAGAGACTTTTCCTTCCTTCTGACTTTCCTTATTTCCTTCCTTCCCTCATTTCCTTTCTCCCTTCTTTCCTTCCTTCCTTCTTTGAATTTGAATACAACCAAGTGATACAATAGTCACAACTGCAAAAGAGTTGAGTTTGGTGGGGTGCACACCTGTAATCCCAGCACACAGGAGGCTGAGGCAGGAAGACTGCCGCAAATTCAAGCTGAAGGCCATCCTAAACTACAGAGCAAGACCCTGTCTCAAAAAACAAATAAAACACTACAAAACAGTTTCTGTGACTCTCAAACTGCCCTCACTGGAGACAGCCACCCTGAACAGTTTCTGTTCCCTTTCAGAGACATACCATTCTCTCATCATGTTTAAATGTTGCTTATTTTGCCTTTTTAAAAGATGGAAGTAGCCAGGTGTGGTGGTATATACCTATAATTACAGTACTCT